TCCCTGGGTAGGAAACAGGCAGAGAGGGGAGACTCAGGAGGGACTGTCTCAGTGATGGTGGGATTAAAACATTTTGCATTACAGTCTTTGGGCTTTCTGGAAAAGCTCACTGAAAGTTTTTTTTTACTTTTCTTTGTAGTTTTGTACTAATAAACCAGGCCCCTGGGCAAAGCTTAGTGCTCCACACCATACCACACGAGATGTTAGGGCTGAACTTAAGAAGGAAAACCAGAGACCAACAGGCTGCAAAGTCCCTGCCGTACAGCAGCGCAGGCTGTGTATACTTGGCTCCCAGATTTTGGCAATGCATTTAAAATTGATGCCTAGTCAGTAATCATTCTTCCTTTAGGAAACAATAATCTGTTGAGCCATAAGATTCTTAGGCCTCCAAAATCCGATGTCCCCAAAGTGCAGATGACCACAGGTGATACTCATCTTGAGCAAGTTTGACATCCTCTTTGCTTGACTAATTCCCAAAGTAGTAGCCTTCTAGAGGGTTAAGAGGCACATGCCCACTCATTAAGGCTTGAAGGAGCAGGGATGCTCTTCAGTCTCTCCTTTTCTCCAGTCATCTCGGCCCTAGCCATCGCAGGCTGGAGCCACCGCGGGTGACTGCTCTTGCTGCTGCTGTAACGCACCCAAGTTACCGGTTCCCCCGGGGGACGGGTTCTCTGTCCCCAGGCACCTCAGCCGCGCCGGCTGCAAGCGTGGCAAGAGCCCTGCCCGGCTCCGGCATTGCCAAGGCCTTGGGGCCACCCAGCAAATGGCCTGATCCTTTGCGCAGGGTTCCACTGGGCCAGAGATGTTAAGCTGTAAATGAGATTTCTGTTCTTTCCAGCACAGTGTTGCTAAAGGCAGGTGGAAAGCTGCTTCTTTGAATATCTGATTTTGACCTCGACAATGTCTCTTGACATTTCCACAGCTTCAAAATTACTTATCCCCCTCTCCATCTTTACTTTTCTGCGCATTGTTTTTCTGTAGCAGTCTTTTTCTCTTCATTGGCTTTACTTCTGTGAAAGACTTTGCATAATGTTTTCCTTCATTAATTGTTCCATTTCAAAGTTTTCCTCTTATTTCAAACTTCCTAGTTGCTATGTGACTCTGCTGTGTGGTTTCTAGGTCTTCTTTTACGTTTACAGTGTCCTTTTTCTCTTAGGCATTCCCTTGAACAGCTTCAGGGTGGTGATAGCATGAAAAATTGCTGTATCCCTCTGTGTCTCTATACAGAAGTCTAACATATTGGTGAGAGAAAGAGAGTCAAAGCAGGCATTTTTAAATAATATAAAGGACATTTATTTATAGGATATTTATTTTCAGAAATTCCCTAATAGCACAAATAGAAACTTCACCATTTTATAAAAAATATATGTGTATTTTTCTTCATACATTCTAGTCATACCATAGGCTTTCCACAAAAAGAACAAGCATTTATTTTTGTGCTGTGTGCCCAGAACAGCTACTACATGACCATCGTCCTGCCAGGATTTGGTGTTGAGAGGGTGCAGCCTGATGTTCACAGGCAGAGTGCTCCTAGTTTTCCTGGGGGCCACTGTGAGTGGCAGGGGCTGCAGGTCTGTGAATCAGGATGGGTTTACACTTTGACTCCCCATCAGGGAGTGATACAGCGTTATATATATTCTCTTACATATGTTTGGGTGAGTACCTCTCCTGAAGTCCTCTTAAGCAGATCCTTTTCAATTCTGACACTTGATTCCTGGCACGGTTTCATGTGCGTGGCACTGGGTCTGATCTGAAGCCCACCAAGACCAGCAAGCTCTGTTCTGCTGGTACTCAGGCTGTGACCAGATTTAAAAAGTGACCTACATCTTTCGCTCCATATCTCAGGCTCTTTTTGTGTAACCATCCATAGGTGGTCTAAATTTACTACTGCAGTGTGAAAACCTGAATCCACAAGCAGCGGTGGGTCTAGCTATTTAAACCACTTTTTTGTGCTGATTTCAGAACTGTGAGCAAGACTTGCACTTACTAGTTTTGTCAGCAAAGTCAAGCTGGTGAATATTTTCATTAGTGACCATTTTTGTTTCTGGTTCATGGCTGTACCAACAGGACCTACGATGGGGACCAGCAGAAGAATGCTGTAGTGGACACTCCTTATTTTGCTTACTGACCTGGGTTTGCTAGCCTGGCAGATGTGGTTTTTGCTTTCCAATATAGTTGTGTTTAGACTGAGAGGCCTTTTCCAACTTGGGAGTTTTGCAGGCAGATACACAAGGGCTCTCTACAGCAGTGTCTTGCCCTGCCACTGTTTCTTTGACAAGACGGTGTCAGTCAGCCAAGACTCCCAGCGGGTCACTAAGAAAAGCTGTAGGACTGCACGAGCGTCCTCAGATCTCAGCTCTGTCACCCAGAGCACGCTGGCACGCTTAATATCTCGGGAAAGGTGGAAACTCATTTTGAAGATGGTATCAGACCTTCTGTCATCTTTTTTCTTTTCCTTCTGAATACTTCTACTTCTTATGTAAAGTATCATGGAATTGTCATTTAGTGGAGCAATATTGCTTTGGAGCAGTTGCTGTTCATGCAGATGGAGAGAGTGGGCTTTGGGTATGAGGTTGGGCTGTCTGGGAGGCACTGGCACATGAAGAGTGCAACCCATCATTCAGGGCAGCTGACCAAATGGCATCTGGCTGGCCACTTCTGGAACAAATGGGACACATTTGCCTTTGGAAACAGCTCGGACAGACTATTTAAACTGTGTTTAAAATGGGCATTATTAATATAGAACTTTTAATTTAGCACTGGGAAGGTAACGTGTGCTGTGTATTACTCACTTCTGTCAGCCTCCAGGATGGAGGCTGGGTTTTCCTCCGAGTGCAGCTGGTTAGGAGTGCAAGAAACTGTTGTGGTTTGTGGAATTTGAGCAGATCAGACAGGCAGAGCGTACCTGGGATGCAGGAGTTGGGCAGCAGTGGACAGTGTACAAAGAAGAAATGGCAATGCAAAGCCAGAGGCTAGTGGTCAGCAGTGGCTGGTTCTGCTTCTTCCACGTGGGAGAGGGATTATTTCAGCGTAATCAAGTTCCCTGCAATTTTGTGATGCAGTGCTCCAGCGAAGGGCACAGTGGTTCATCCACCAAGTGGATGTAGCTAAAGCAATAGCAATTCACTGTTGTTTGTAGTAAGGGTACTGTGCATTATGCCTAATATTCTAATTGTGATATTGTAAGAAAACTTACTGGAATGAAGAGAGTATTGTGTTTAAAGCGTCTCCTGAATTGAACTGTTTTCTCATATGGCAGTTGCTCTCAAGGTAGTGACAATGTTCCCAGAGAAAGCAGGATGGAAAAACTGGAGGTCTTTTGGTCATATCTTCCAAGAGCATTAGACTTTCTTTTTATTAGATGCAAACTATAGGGGATGTGGAGGGGGTGGGGAGGTGTTTCTCAGTTAGTCATGGTGGTTAATACCAAAGCACTTGATCACATCAGTGTTTTGAGCTACTGGTTTTATGACTAGGTGCTTGCTGCCATGGGTTAGGGGTTTGTAAATTAGGCCTTTATATATTCTGCAAAATATTAACAGCTTTACTCTTCCTGCACAGTCTTCATTCATGGCTACATAACAGCAGAGAGCAATTTAGCTCCCTGGCAGTGTATTTTAGTGAGACAGCAATTTGTCTGTGTTTACTTATGCTATACAGTTCAGTAATTGTACTGCAGATCTTGGCAAATTCCTGAATAGTTGGGGCCTCAAAAAAAGCTCTTAAATTCATATGTAGGTTCCTAAATAGGTCTGATTTTTCAAATATTGAGTCCCTCCTGACTCTTGCTGACCCTTTGGAAGCCAATAGGCTATCAGAATTTTGAAAATCAGGCCTGCTATGTGTTCTCACACTTGTATGGGGAAGCCAAACTATGATTTAGACTCCTTTAAATATTTGTCTTTGTAGTATTGTAGTGCCAGTTTTATTCTCTACATTGCAATAATACCTAGCAGGGCCTATTCATGTTGACAAACTATCAGTTTGGATTGATTAAAATATCCAGTAAAAAAGTTGCCAGCAAGGTTGCTATCTGAAATCTTTGCTGGAAGATGAAGAGATGCACGGAATAAGAATATTTCTGGCAAGTCACTGGGTTTTTTCATGAAGGGGTAGGCTATAAATACCATCTTTCATATAACATATGTTTCACTGCCTGTGCCTGACAACAAACCTGAGTGAACTAGGGTTCATCAGAAAGGCTGATTTTGCCCTCAGTATTATTGGGAGTTCTTCAGTGCCTCTTGGCACTCTCGCTAAGGTTTTTCTCCCATGTCTCAGTGCAATAAGGCTTCCTTTCCTTTCTCTGTATAATTTAAAGGAAAGTCTGATTCATTACTTAAGGGGCTGCTCTAAATTTTTTCCTCTAGACCATTATAAAAGAAATCATTTAAGCCTCAAATGCTTGTGCTGGCTGCAGCAGCAGATGTGTGAAAGAGTGGGCATTCGCTTTGCTTCGTGCTGCTCATCCTCAAGAAGAGGAGGTTCTCCTTTCTGTGGGCTCAGAGGCACAGCAGAAGGACTTTTTGACCTAAGATAAAACAATGACAAAACCGTTCCTGTGGAAGTAGAGCATGCAGGCGTTTTGGGACGCTTCTGGAATGTATTACTGGGGATAACTTACTCTTTCTTTTCAAAAGAAAATAATACCAATGCCTTTAGGAAGAAAAAGTCTTGTGTGATGTCAGGAAAGGGAAGAAGTTATTCTTGGTAATATTTAAAAGTTGTTAAGTTCAGATGGCCCTGGAATGGTAGGATTTAATATACGGTAAATCAGCAGAATGATCTGGCGCGATTGCAAAGGCGACTTTGAGAGAGTTTGTCATTGGAGATCTTCAGTTTCTTCTATTCACATGCCCTGATGGATCAAAAAATGCAGCATTTTCAGTAATCAATATGCACTTTTTTTTCTCAAGTGGGGGCCACTCCTGAGAAAATAATTTTTGTTTTCTAAACATTATTTGGCTAAGACTGACTGCATGTTTCCATTCCCCTCGCAGAGGCACGGCGATAGCTGGAATTGTTTTCGGTATAGTATTTATAATGGGAGTGATTGCTGGGATTGCCATCTGTATCTGCATGTGCATGAAGAACAACCGTGGGACTCGAGTAGGGGTCATCCGAACTACGCACATCAACACTATCAGCACGTACCCAGGTAAGGAAGCGAAATGACACCCTTGCAAGAGTGCCTGTGTTCATGGTAGGAGCGTATCGTTGGATAGTTAGTGGCTCCGCAGTAAATGGGGTATGTGAATGCAGCAGGAGGCTCTTCTCAGACCGGAGGGGAACAGCACGACTCTCTGCTGAGAAGCGCGAGGCAGCTCAGCGTGCGCAGCGCTCGTCAGCGCAGCACTCTGCCTGGGATAAGTTATTCAGCTACTCCGTGGGCTAATGAGATCTGGCCAGGCACCATGTTCACACAGCTGTATGGCTCGCGGTGCCCACAGCAGCATGTTGAGACCTCGCTCAGGGCAGTGCTGCATTGTGCAGGATAGACCTTCTCCCTGTGCCAGAGGCTCTCTGGCGACGGATCAGTCGTTCTGCTTTTGTGTTCTGGTTCTTCTATTTGCTCTCGTTCACATGCAGTCAGCTCCCTTTCATTGTCTGATACAATGCGGGCCCGGCATACCACAGAGAGGGGGAAACCTGGACAATGAAGTCTGTGGATCATAACGCAAAGGCTTTGAGTGGTGCCGTGTGGGGTCTAATGCAGCCTGAGCTGGCTGGTACTGGACCAGAGCTCACAAGCCCTGCTGGATGCTGCAGGATCCCAGATGACTTCTACTAAGGCACACGGGCGTCTTTTCAGGGTGTTCTCTGCTGTGTGTGCCAGGGGGGACTGCTGTCTGGCGGGGGGTGCTGGATCCAAGGTGGCTCTCAGCACCCGCCCAGCACCATGCCTGAACTGACAGGAACTTGGAGCACGGTGCAGAGATGCCCCTCGGGCCTTGGTCAAAGGTAGCCGAGTGCTGGACATGCTCAGTGCAGGTGTATCTTCTGGGTTAACATTGTTTTGGTGTAATGTTTTTTTGGGTGCAGGGCAGCACCAGGGGAGGCACAGAGCCTAAGCTGGATCTGGCACTGAGCTAAAAAGCTGTCACAGGCTCTGGGGCACCCCAGGGGCCTCTCATAGGTCTACTTCAGTTGCAGTTGTGCCCAAAGGGAGTGAGAGCTGGTACATCAGCCTGTACCTGAGGTAGCTCTGTGCAGAGACGCTCCCTGCTCCACACTTGTCCACTCATGCCAGTCGAGGATTGGGGCACAGGAGCACCAAAGGTGGATCTGCTCCGAGCCAGCTGGGGTTTGCAAGGTCTGGACTCTGCACCATGTGAAAGTGGCCACGCTGTTGAAGACCAGAGCTGACCCTGGAAGCAGCATAACTGTGTTTATGCAATCCAGCTATGTCTCTGCTTCAGTGACATTGTTTAATTACAAATCCAGGAGTGATTGCCTTGGGATAACTTGCGAGTTCACTGTAATAAAAGACAATGGTGTTTCATGGATGAAGTCTCTTCATCCCACTCTTAGAGATCCCCTGCCTTTATATTCCCTTCTGTCGCAAAGGTTGCAGCAAACCCCAGGTGCATTATGTATACTTATAGGCAAGCTATGCAACATTCATTATGTGTTCCTTTACACATTCACTGCTCTCAGTCTCTGTTTTCTCCCTCACAAACTTACTTTCCAGTTAAACTAAAACCATCTATAATCATCCTTATTGTTGCAACATTGTTTTGCATAGAAAGATGAGTAATGAAAGAAAACTGCAATATTCTCAACCATGAATTGCTAAAGAGCTACTTCAGAATCTAACAGTCACTGCAAGCTGTAAAAACGAGTGAAATGAAGACTCTGGGGCTGTAGCCTTTTCCTCCCCAAGTCTGCTCCTGCAATGACTCAGCCCTATCTCTCCACCTCCAGGCAGTTTGACTCTGCACGATCCCAGTGCCTGGTGCAAACATTAGTTTGAGCAGTTCTTCCTCTCAGCAGCTGCCGTTTTTGGAGGATGGAGAAGCTCTGAAATGATTCCTGTGTTACCCACTGCCATGAACACTTCTGGAGTAATGAATGACCTGACTTTGGCTGCAGGGTTTGTGACCAGCCCTCCGCCCTGCCATTACCTGTTTTGGACAGCAGTGGCAAGAGAGGGGATGCCCCTCCTTTGGCCTCAGCCACAGCAACAACCAGGTTTTCAGGGAGCGGGGAGTGCTTTTCATGGCACTCTGGGATTTGAGTCTATTCCCCCCATCACAAACATCCTAGGTTTCTGTTTCCTCTCTATTAAAGTGCTGTTTCACTGCCAGTCTCCTTGAGATATCCAGGGAGGGGATAGGAAAGCATCTGTGGAGTCATAGAGAGAGACATGAACAGACTCTGGACCTTAAAATTTGTAGAGACTACTTTAGTGGGGTCTTGATATGGAGCCTTCAGTTTCTACCATGCTATCATTCTGCAGAATTTACTGTCTTTTTGATCACTGAATTAATCCTTCTTCTCTAAGGTTAGTAGAAGTAATTGGGAAAATGTTTTCAGCTGTTTGTGAGTTTTATTGCTGTTTCCTAAATGCCTGACCCAGTTTACAAATGCTGGGCTCTCAGATGTCTCCATTGGGGTGAACAAGGCGAAAGCTTTGTTCTTCCTTGGCCAGAGGCCTGGGAACATCCGGGAAAGATGGCTGGCATTTGCCCTGGGAGGTGTGATGCTGCTGTGTTTGGCATAGCATGACATGTCACACATCTCCTGGGGATCCAGGGGGTGTTGGAGAGGTCTGTGGAGATCAGCAGAAGCCCCAGCTACCCCATCATTTTGAGATGACACAAATCTGTGTTGCTGCTGAAGAAGGTGGAAGGGAATGGATCTGATAAAAACCCACTCTTCCTCCCCTGAAAAAGTTTAGCTCTGCCACATCACCCTGGTATCATCTGCTATGATATGGCCACTCAAACACCGCTACCAGCACAACGTGTTGGTTGCCACACAGCTAAGCAGTGGAGGAAAGGGCAATAAGCAAGGACTTGCGTTGACATAAAGTGGCTGTGCGATGACAGTCTGAAAAAAAAAAGTGAACACATTGCCATTTACATCTGTTGTATGGAAGTCAGAATGTCAGCTAAAAAATGCTTTGGGGCCTGCATCTGAAAGAAAGATTTTTTACGCTGTCTTCTTTTTTCTCCCATTTCAGTGGCTCCACCACCATACAGTTACGAATATGAAATGGAGTACCCAGCTGACCTACCTCCACCTTATACTCCAACCCCACAGACTTCGATACAGTACCCCCCACCCCCTCCATACCCTGGATATTCAGGGAAATAATTACACGGCTTCACACGGATACTAACTGCCTGTTGAAACAGCCATCACCATTGGGACAAATATTATTGGCTCAGGGACAAATAGGATGGGGTCTGCATCAGCACATGTGGCCAGGTGTTGAAATAACCTAGGAGGGTTGCCATGGCTCAGGATGAAGAAAAATACTGTCCACTCCGGACCATCATGTTTCATGATTAAACAACACATGACCAAAGAAACAGTTCCTGTAAGTTAGTGCCTGAAGAGTAGTGCGTAGCATCAATGCATAGCTTCAGCGGCAGCCCGTTACCACATGTGGGAGCAGGGGTCTTCCCATGTAAGAACGTGCAAGTGGTGCAAATGGTTCAACAAGCCATTTCAAAAGCACAAGAGGCAGCTGCTGTGGCTTATTCTGGGCAAAAACTCCAACTCCAACTCTTGTCTTCAAGTATGTGTTTCACCTTTGAAACGAGGTGAATAAGGAAGAACAAGGAAGAGTGAAGTTATTTTCAGTTTCTACTTCAGACTGATAATACCCAATGATCAGCTGTGCATATGGTTTGATAAGCATATTACAGAGAGAAGTACTGTTGGAATTATTCAGCAACCAAAAAATGATGGATATTATATTTGACCAAGTGCAGGTTGTTTTAAGTGCCTACTTTTAAACAGTTTGAGACTATAGTTTGTGGCCTAAAATGTAAACATAAAATGCGTTTTTATATGTGAAATACACTAATTTATAGCTGATTTACTTCTACCTGGATTTAAATATTGTATACGCTGGAAATATGCTACAATGCCTTTTTTATCAGCAAATGATACTTTGATTTTTTTTTTTTAAAAATAACAAATCGGGAATACTCACAAGTGGGAGAAGAAATACAAACCAAATATTAAAACATCATAGATTTGTATTCAACTGGATTGCTTAAAGACTATTTTTTTAAATAAAATACATATTATTTACCAGTAATAATGATACTCAGCCTAACCAAAGAGATGAGCACAGAGATTGTGAGCATCAGATTACTTTTGAATGTTGTCTTGGGCATTTTAAAACTAAGTCTCCAAGTAATACTTCTTGCATTTGTCATGCATATTGTTCAGCATTACTTAATCTCTACTATGTAAAGTACAGACCTTTATGATTTAGAATGTTACATATACTTATGGGGCTAACTGCAATTCAGAAGCAGCTATTTGACTTCAGAATAGAGCATCCCATTACGTAAAGCATCATCCTTCGGCGGTAAGACTAGTATTTTTCTCAGTTTTGTATGCAAACCACAAAGAAAATGGTTCTCTTTGGGGATTTAAAAGTTCTGAATGTCCCTAGTTTGATTTGCGTGGCTCGGCCATTTGAGAATGCTACAGCCAGAACAGCGGCAGGTGACAAAAATATGGCACCTAGAATTGAGGACAGCTATGGCATCGCGACCATTTCAGAAGGAGAGACTGCAGGTTACTGCTGATTCCTGGAGATCAGAACGCATATAAATGTTTTCCAGCATAGCCCTCATCTTCTTTCCAGGTGCTGCATCAGTGTATTAATGAATAAAAAAGCAGCTTGCAAAAGGTGGTACCATATCCCAGTGAAGTCAGCTGACAAACTCATCACCCTCTAAGTCTGATGTTTTTGGTGTTCAGTCCTTATTCAGGGAGGAACTCAAACAACCTTTTAACTTTGAGCACAGAAGTTATTCATAGGACTTCTTGTAAACAAGACCTTGTTGACTGTTCTTGCTCAGATGTCATAGTTGTATTTGTCCTTTCCAGGCTGGCTAAGCTTCTCTTCTTGAAACCCCACTTGAAAGCTCAAATGGCCTCAGTCCTCACCAATGCAAATTTAGAAGATCTGTGTTGTGGCCCTTGGCCAAGCTGAACCTTGAGTCACAGGCCCATTAGCTACCTAGGCATTTGTAACCTAGTCAGAGGAAAACTGAGCTGTGTCACAGGTTTCGGTTGCTGCTGGTTCCTTGTAGTCTTCTCCAAGGAAGGAGAGTTATATTTTCATTTCTGCTTTGCTGTTCAGAGGTGACAAGTCCTGAACTAGGTTATCCTTACAGTTACTTCTGCTTTGGGCTATGTCCTGTGACATTTCAGCTGGTACTCTGACCTCTCAGGAGGCAGATGTTCCTCAGTTGGAATCCTCCCATGAAGGGTAACCTCGTGCACATGGTGTTTTGGCAGTCCGTGATCAAAACCGTCTGCTGGGGTATTGATGTGCCTGCCAACATGGTGGCTAGCATGAAGAACAGAATAAGAATAGTTCCTCTGTGGGAAGTCCTGTTCCTACCACATCATTCTATGCTAATACCTCAGCACTTTCCAGTTGATTGCACCAGATGATACTTGTGTGCCAAAAAGTTACCTATAGATAAAGACTATTGTCATTTTTCCCATTCTTGTATTTCATTTCTTTGTGCTGAACATGCAGATGCACAAATCAAAGAGTAGTTTGTATTTGATAAATCCAGTCTCCTGAAAAATACAGAGAAAGAAAACTATCCTATAGATCATAAATCTTTCATTAGAGGAAGAATTTCTCCAGACATGACATTTGTCAGAACAAGTTATGAAGCAGATTCCTTGAATAAAAAGGCATTTCTGGAAAATAACAAAAAGTCTTTGATCACAGAGTCCTCTGCTTTTCAACTTTGCGATTGCATGTTGCCTCTGATGATACTGCATGCAGGTCATAGTAACTGAAGTACCTATAATGGATACATGACTTATGCCAGGGGAAAATTATGGAAATAGGAAATTGAGAATTTCACAGTGATAGAGAGCTGATTGTTTGCTATGAAAACACTAGTGAGGATATTAATTTTAGTGTGTCAGTTAACGTTCTGCAAATCCACATATATTGGGCCATACCAGACAATAATTTTAATCTCAAAGGGCATCACATCTCTTGTCCTTGCTAAGGGCATAAAACATAAATGTGTTGCTCTTTCATCAAAACAGGTGAAACTAGTACAGAGTAGCCTATTTTCAGAAAGACATGATGTTTGTATTGAAAATACTAAATCTGAGAGAGCCAGAGAGGAGGAGGGAGTCTGAAAGATGTCTGAAAGTAAAAGAATAGAACAAATAAGTTGCTGCATAAACAAATGGAAGCATTTGCTAATAGTGAAGTTATATTAGCTTAGTTGAAAAAGTTTAAGTGTTGTTATACCTTAAGTGTTATTTTCTTTCTGTGGAAACATGTAATTTGTTCAACACCTCTGTATTCAAGGTTCCTGCAGTGCAGATATTGCCGGCCAGTAGTCGTTTATTCTGTTTCACATGAATAGCTTGCAGATGAGTGGGTTAGTACAAAGAGTTTTTACTTAGTCACACTGACTTATTTCAGTCTCATGCCATACATCATATTGTAAAGTCAGAAAAAAAATACGAAATGTAATCTATGTCAAAGAAGCGCCAAGTGATTGTTTGCTTTTCTTGTTTGGCAGTGGATATTATCACTAATCTGGTCAGTGAATGTAGAGTTGCCCTGGGCAGTACTTGGACCAAATGCTGCTGATTTTCTTGTGGCCTCAGGTAGCTCTGCCTTTGGTTCACGATTTCTGGGCTGAGCTGGGGAGGCGGAGAGCCAAGGTCACCATGTCAGGAGTACAGGACCTGGTCCCATGGGCCTTTCTCCTTGGTTTCCTAGTTTAGCACATTAGATGGCTGCCTGGCTGCACGATTGCTGTTGCGGACTGGAAGCAGCAGGAGTTACAGGTGCTTACAAAGGCACATATGCTTGCATATGCTCTGATGCCAGTCCTCTTTTGTGGAAAAAAAAAATTCCGTGTGATGTCTTAGTTAATCATGTATTGGGGATATTTCAAGCCATGATTCATTTCACAAACTTAATTTAATCTGGCATTTCTTTAACTTTTTTTTTTTTTTTCCCCAGAAGGAGCTACTTCGAAACCAGTTATCTCTCTGACAGCCTACTGTTTCTAGGGTATATACCAAACAGCAGGAGAAATCTATTTAAGAGCTAATGACCCATTTGGGAGACTTTACAAATTAGGTAATAATCAGTTGGAGGAGTTAAAAGGCCAAGGCAAAGCCAAAGGAAGTTAATGTGCTAAGCCGCCATTACCTAAATGACACACTCCAATGAAAGGATCGTTAATGCTATTATAAACCTTTTTTAATTAATGAAAAATGTAGCGGTTTGCTTCTTTAGTGTTGGTAACTTTGAAAGATGAAGTTTTGCCAGTGTATAGACCAGATTTTCAGTAGTGCCACAAAGAAAAGATGAGATTGCTCCATAGAGCACCTGGATAGATATTAACAGTGTTCTTAGTATAGTAGAAATAGGGTCTTTCAATTTCAAGCAAATGTTCTCAAGACCCTTTGTGAAATCACAGTGATATTTTTTGGATGTGATGGGATAGTTCATAAAGCACTGATGTCTGTCTATTAGAATAGTAGATGTTTAGCATTTCTGTATTCACTTTTGTCCTGGAAGCTCTCCAAATGCTTTAGTAACTAGAAAAATAATTATTTTAGTTACCTTGAAATAAAACTCAACAGGTATTTAAGAGCACACAGTAATATTATGTAACACCCTGAGGCAGAAATTGCACAAAGGAATTAAGGGAAATTGAATATATTTCTTCAGTTTCACTAAAATGTCAGTGCTTGGACAAAACACCTTGAGAAAATAACAGCCTCGACCTTTTATCAAGTGCTCCCTATTATTACTTTCCAGTGGGTACACACAGCCTAATGGTGGTTTTTATGTTGCAGCAATGTCTGAGGTCTGAAAAACAGCCCCGGTCCCAGCCGGGATTGTTGTGCACCCATTGTAAAAACACCCCTCCCACTCAGTCCTGCCGCTGAAAGAGATGAACAGAGGGCTGCAGAAAGGAGAGGCTGTAGTCCCTCACTTTACAGAAGGGAGGGAGATGAGGAAAAAACAAAATGGTCAAGACTTTTTGATTTTGTATCACCCTCAGAGGACGGCTGACTGGTGCTGTCGCGGTGACTGTCAGTGCAGGAAGAGCGAAAGCGGCGAGCACGGAGCGTGCTGAAGAGCTGCCGTGCAGTCGGGAGAACAGCCCAGAGAAGCATCCACAGAGCTCCAGCTCGAGGATCACATAACTCAAGGTGCTGGAGGCAATAACTGAAGCAGAAATGTTTGTCTGCCCGGTTTGCTGTGAAGATTAGGTGGTCAATATTTACACAGCACTGGAAATGGAAAATGTTAATTAATTTTGTTATGCTGTGCACTATTAGTACTTTGCATCCTTTGTGGAGAGTAGGAAAGGGCAGGCTTTGAATGCCATTGCTATCACAGTGATGACTAAGAATGGACTAGAGCCAACAGAAACAAAAGGAAAGCCAAAGACTTAGGTGTTTCTGAAGAAAGTGAGGGGTTTTTTTGTCAGCCTGGCATATGGAGCCAGTTCCTTCATGGAAGCGATCTGGACTGCTTCCAGCAAAGGCAGCTGATTTTAAACAGCTGAAGCCTTCAGGAGGGGGGCTGAAGTGGGAACTGTGTAATGCTGGTTTTCCCCAGGCCTGAGACTTCGCCTGACCCCTCTGCTCACTCGCAGGAAACCTGCTGGGGGAGAGGCTTCAAGGCAGTCCTCCTTTCTTGCATTAATGCCAAGCTGGTCATCTTAGCCCATAACCTTCGCAACCCATCCATGATATGTTCATTTCCGGGAACACGGGCAAAACCATTCTTTCATGGCCAGTAAGCAATCCCCAAATTTCTCTCAGTAGATCCCATGTTGTATTGACGGGAAGTTCTCCATTACAGGATCTAATCTGGAGACAGGTACTACCTTTTGCCAGTTTACCCAAATTGCCCCATCTTTTTTATATG